GCAGGTGATTGTGGCTATTTGTGGTAATATATGTTACGTGTTTGTAAAGTGATCTGCTGTAGTTCAAACACCATTAGGAAAATAACTCTATGCTGACCGAAATTTGTGTGTGTGTATGTGTGTGTGTGTGTGAGTAGGTGCGTATGTGTGTGTGTTTGTTTGTATGCACAGAACATACACCGTATAGTATGCTTATGAGTGTGTGTATGTAGTTCCTTCTTATCAAGCGAAATATGCCTTTGTGTGACTATATGTACATTTTTTCTCTCTCTAGAAAGGCGACATGTAGATTACACACACACACACACACACACACACACACACACACACACACACACACACACACACACACACACACACACACACACACACACACACATACACACACAACCATGATGAGATAAAAAATAAACAAACAAAAAGACAAATAAAGACTAACTGGCCATGCGATGCAGGTATTATTTTTAATAATAGATAAATAGATGAATAAAAAAAAAGAGAAAAAAAAACACCTTTATTAAAACAACAAACTGGCGACCGACAAATAGACTTCCCTAATAATGTTTATGACACTTAATCGTTGGCGCCGGATCGTAAATTTTGAATAAATGATGAAATCAATATTTGCGTCCATTTATTGCCATGAGCTACCGATGCCATATTAGCAACTGGCAACTCGATTAGTGTCTCCGTGGCTTGCTTCTAAACCGTTATTCATTCGAAGAAATTTTATTCACTTTATCTCTGTCATAATTATTGTTCGTACTTTGTTCATGTGCAGAATTATTAATTGGAAAATTTTAATGATGCTGGAATCGATTTAGCTAATTTGTTTACGACGAGCTTAAAGATATTTGCAATTTCCCGCTAAATTATTGTTTATTTTTCTTATTGCTGGATTCTTTGCAATTTTTCCTTTTGCTAAATTCTTTGCCGTTTTTTTTATTACCTTTTTTTCGTTAAATTCTTTACCCCCCCTTTTTTTGGCTAAATACTTTATTTTTTTTCTACTAAATTCTTTGTTATTTTTTGCGGTTTTATATTTTGCGAAATTCTTTGCACTATTCTCCCTTCGCTAGAAATGTTGCATCATGGCGTATCTTATCAATTTGCAACAGGCGACGCTTAATTGTTTTTATAGATCACTTTATCTTATATTTAACGATGTTAAAGTCTCCGATAATTAAATAAATTGCAGATATCAGTAATCATCATGTATCATATCCAATTATATATTGACCCATTTATTGATATCGGTACAGTCTTTTACGTTTTGTTGAATGAAAATATCACGTAAATCTCTCTCTCTCTCTCTCTCTCTCTCTCTCTCTCTCTCTCTCTCTCTCTCTCTCTCTCTCTCTCTCTCTCTCTCTCTCTCTCTCTCTCTCTCTCTGTTCTCTCTGTTTCTCTGTTTCTCTGTTCTCTCTCTCTCTCTCTCTCTCTCTCTCTCTCTCTCTCTCTCTCTCTCTCTCTCTCTCTCTCTCTCTCTCTCTCTCTCTCTCTCTCTCTCTCTCTCTCGTGATATTTTCCTTTTCTTTGTTTTTGTTTTATTGTTTCACAGACTTTATTCTTTTTTTATGATAATAAAAACATAAATATATGTTTTTTTCAGAAGAAACGAAAACTTTATATAGAAATTATACTGATAAAGATTTTAGTTAGAAAAAGTTAGATATATTTCTCCAGCAAATATATCCCCAGTGTAATATTTCTAAGAACTAATATTTTTTATCTTCTTTTTTTTTAGAATAAAGGACATTTTCTTCAATTTTTTTACTTTTGTATTTTTAATGTATAAACCTCATCCCTTTTTTATATATAATAAAACTAAAGAACCACTAAGAAAATATATACTTACTTTTCTCTCTTTTCAGAAGCAACGATGGGACTATATAAATAAAAGAAAAATAACAAAGAAGTTATTAAGAAAAAATAATAAATATATAAGTGTTATTAAAAGGAGACATTAAAGTGATATAAATAATAACAGTGTCATTAATTTCTCTAATAATCTTGTAATGTTATCAAGAACGTAGAGAACATGTTATCAGTTCTTCATGGAATGTTCTGAAAATATATGATAAAGACACAAAGAAGAAGGAATTAATGAAGACAAAAAAGCGAAGAAAAAGAAGAAGAAAGAGTGAGAGAATTTTTTGGAAAATCGGATTGTGAGAAATTTGCTGTGTGATCATTTTCGAATTTCATATCATTGCGTTTTTTATTTACCGTGACTGGTATTCTTTCCTTACATGAGGAGAAAGGGAAGCAGGAGAAGAAGATAGTAAAAGAACGATAAAACAGAGAGAAAGAGAAAGAGAAAGAGAGAAAATATATATATATATATATACCTATTCAACTAACCACTCACCTGCTTCCTTTCCTCCACTCCCCCCCCCCCCTCCACCCCCACTTACAAAACTCCCCCATTACCCCCTCTCCCCCCCACCCCCACTTATATAACCCCCTCTTCCACCCCTCTCCCCCCCCAGCCCTCCCC